TAAGTAAGTAAGTAAGTAAGTAAGTAAGTAAGTAAGTAAGTAAGTAAGTAAGTAAGTAAGTAAGTAGTAGTAGAGTAGAGAGAGAGAGAGGAGAGAGAGAGAGAGAGAGAGAGGTACCTTGTGAAGCTCGTGGTAAGAGTGAGAAGTTGAGCCGAAGGAAATTCTGCGTTGGAAAGAGGGAATAAGGGAAGTTGAGACTGACCCAAGTACAGAGTGAAATGCGGGAGCCATGAAATTGTTATGGAAAAGTTAGAGAAACATTGTGAGGATGAAATGGACAGGAAAATGTGAATAAGCAGGAAGAGGAGAGATGCAATGAGAGGGGATTTAAGAAAGAAATTATGATGGGTAATTTCATCATGAAGCACTCTGCCATTAAAGTTCTCCTCGACCTTTCATTGGAGAGAGAGAGAGAGAAAGTTGGAGTGGCCAACTGAGTTTCAAAGGTTTTCTTGTGCTTTTGTAATTTGTAATCGGTTTGGACAGTGTAAAAAAGGGAGACACCTCAATAACCGTCCATTGTTTACTTTTGACGGTTAGAGATGTGCTAGTAAATTGTTTGAGACGGAAATGACCACGTAGAATTCTCCCCCAAATACTATTTGCCACTGTTTTCGGGTTATTGTTCGAACCATAATGACATGATACCAAATCAATCCAAGTCCAATGGAAACCAGTTTTATTGGCCATGGAATATATTGGAATAGATTTTTGTCAAATATAAAAATAAAAAATTTACGTTAAAAAAAATATAAACCATATTAAAAAAAAAAAATTCTTATTTTTTTTTTCTTGGTTGAACTTGTCAAAACCAAATGGTTATCGGGAAATCCCCTACAACATAAAACTTATATACTTCCCTTTATCTAACTGTCCATTCTGAATGGAGGACTAAGATTGTCCCAATCACAAAGTCCCATTCTGAATGGAGGACTAAGATTGCCCCAATCACAAAGTCACGTCTGGACATCCAATCCTCTATTAAACTTGCACTAGCAAGAAAGACAAAAACAATATTTCCAATAAAATAAAATAACCAAAATACCCCTGAAAGTTTTAAGGGGTATTTTGATCATTATGTTTTATCGAAAATTTATTTTTAATATTTTATTATAGGTGCACCCTAATAAGAAGATAGCATGTACCAAATTTCATATTCATACAATTTGTATTAAAAAAACTAAAAATAAAATACTTTGAAACGTCAGATCTAAGATCAAACAGTGAGCGACTCTCTTAATCAAAATTGGACGGCTGGATGGTAGGGGGAGGATAGTTATTTTATGTTGTAGGGGAAGTATAGAAACCTTTCACATGGTTTCAATGGCTAATTTGTCAAACACTTACTGTTATTAGTTTTTCTTTAGTAAACTAAGTTTTTGCTTTACATTGGATAGGCTAAGGCATCAGTTAATGGTCCGACCGAGCAGTTCAGTCTGGTCTTAATAACTGTGATGCAAACAGGTCAGCAATTCATACATATTGGCTCAACCGACTCAACCAAATTTTTAAAGGGATTGTATATCACTTTTGATACAAAGGAGGTCACAATTATACTTAACCAATGGATGTACAATCCAACAGCTTAGGTATGTCATAGAATTAAAAAAAAATGTTTTGAATTTTATACTCAATCAATTATATACCCCCAACCACCCTTCACATCTAATGATCAATGGTGATTGTGATCTCCTTGTGCAAAAAAATAAGCGGTCTCATTGTATGCTTTTCTATTTTTTAAAAGAAAATATAAATAAAGGTTTAAAAGTGTAAAATGTTATGGGCATGATTTAGGAATCTCTATCGTCCTAAAAATTGATTTAATATTATATTAAAATTATTTTAAGAAGATAAATTTATCAAAATACCCACTACTTTTCAATTATTTAATATTTTACACTTTTCTACTATTCCAACTCCAAATCACGCGTATTTTAACGGGTATGTTAGAATTAAATCAAAATTGATGGGTAAAATATTTAATAGCCAATGTCAAATTTCCCTTTTCAATATAGTTTTAAGTTGAAAAGATCCAAGTCTCCTTTTTAGTGAGGGACCCTTATTGATCACCAGGTTTGAGTTGAACTAGTTAAATAGGTAGTCTCAGATCCAATTTTGAAAACTGTGATTATTATCCTATATCCTATGTGCTCCCCTACTGGTGCATACTGTAGATTAAATTTTCTTGCTGCAACAAACGCTTCATTTGACCTGACCCTACTTGAAAACGGTTCACTAATTAATCCATAATGCATAGAAAGGAAATTTAGAGAAAGTTTGTTTATTTTTTTTATGAAATTTAAAAACAGTCCTATATTTCATATTTTGCATTCAAATCCTCTTTTTTTAGAGTGTACAATGTCTCATTTTTCTTATGTTTCTATACATTGGATTCTGCTCACATTTCTTACCATTAGCAATTTGAAATTAAACTAAGAGATACAATGATATGTTAAGGGGTTATATACAATGAGAACATTTACTTTTGATATACAAGGAGGTCACAAATACTTATAACCACTCGATGTGAAATTTGATAACTTTGGTGTGTCATAAAGTTCGAGAAAATTTCGTTTGAAGTTTGAGCTTGGTCAATAGAATAAATGCAGCCACCTAATTTCACATCAAATAGTCAAGATTAATTATGACCCCCTTGTGGCAAAGATAAATGGTCTCATTGAATACTTTTCCATATGGTTAAATAGTTTAATTCCTTATGTATGATTAGATACAATTCCCTTATTCAATATTACATTTTAAAAAAAAAACTTTATTGAATATTACTATTTTTTTTTTACAGAACTTATAAACCTTATTAATACTTCCTTACAAAAAGGAGATTATAGTAGAGGAAACAGAAAGAGATGACAGAATTGCGCCTCCTTTAGCAAGATAATCTGCCAAAGAATTGGCCTCCCTGTAAACGCGTAGAAAGACGGCATAAAATTATAGTTTTGTGCTTAGCACCCATGCATGTCCTTAAAAGGCATGAATAGCTCACATGCACCTTCCATGATAGGTTTTATTCTCATGGGTTTGAGATAGCAGTTGAGGTTCTGTATAAAAGTTCTCTTATCTGTCTTTTAAGGAAAATTTATCAAGAGATAAATTATTTAACATTTTATCCTCATTCCATGTCACAATCTTGTGTATTTTTATTGGTATTTTGCAATTAAATGAAATGATATAAGTAAAATGTTAAATAGTTCATATCATATGGTTATTTTTATAGATTTCCTGTCCATGAATGATGGTTGGTGTGAAATGAAGTTTCCTATAGAACATTTGTTGCACTTATTGGATATATTCCTCAGTTAGGTGAGGAAGAATTTTATGGTGAACTTTATACTTTGTGCTTGTTTTTCTCATGCATAAAATACTTCCTTGTTCGCATGCCAAAACCACAAATATTTATAAATAAAAAACAGAGTACAGTTATCTCTTCTATTCATTTTTCTCAATTAATAATAGAAATGGTTATCAAAATCTACGACTATTAAATATTGATAAGTCATTGGAGGAGATTGATTGGGTAACTCAAAAAATAAATAAATTTATTTAACCTATAACTCAAAAAATGAATTAATTTATTTAACCTATAAATATCTACATTATGAAAATAGTTCAGATTTGTATATTTATTTCATAAATTAAAAAAATGCAACTTTGCATTGTTTAGCTTGTTGGTTATTTAGCTTGTTAATTATTTTGATTCTTTTTAATTACATAATAAATTTTTTTTTTAACACTATCGATGAAATTAGATGATTTTAAAAGCTGCATTTTACCCTTTACAAAAATAATAATATTTTAGTTATCTCTGGTAATAAATTCAAATACATTAGATTATCTCGAAATAAATTTAAAAAATTTAGCTGATCTTTTTAAGTTCTTTCACATATCTCATGCTATTTTATTTCAATTTATTTTGTTAGCTCATTCTCTTCACTATTCTCATTTTATGCAAAAATAATACTATTCTTTTGTGAATTTCTTTTAGGTTCATTTTGATGGAAATGTTAAGTTCACTTTGATGGAAATACTCTTTCTTTTATATACATCGATTCCTCCTCAATGCATGTTAATTTTATATTAGAATTGTGCCTCTTCTAACTAGATAAAGTAAAGGCTTAGTTCCTTTTCGTATAGCAAGATCACAGTCACCTTTATGTCTTAGGTAAATTTATGCTTTTTTTCAAACTTTGAAAGTAACTAATTTAATCACCATCTGACAACTAAATGTAATCACCTCATTTCCCTATTGACAACTAAAGATAATTGTGTACTAAAAATAAATGGCAGTAAAATCCTTCTTACAACTAAAGATAATTGTGCACTAAAAATAAATGGTAGTAAAATATAAAATCCATTTTAGTACCTATTCATGTAAGCGCTAATTTTATAGTAGAATTACTCCTCTTTCTCATTGGAGAAAGTACAAACCCTTCTTCTTTTGGTACAATAAGATCACATTCATCTTTATGTCTTATGTAAAAATATGGTTTTTTCAAACTTTGTAACACATCTGATAGTCACCTCATTTCCCATCTGACGATTAAAAGTGACTGTGCACCAAAAATAAATGGCAGTGAAGTATAAAAAGCCTTCTTTGGTAATCTGCATTTTTTTTATTTGCTTTGTCAGTGTGCGTTTTCGCCTTATCATTTATATATGCTAGAATTGATATAGAAAGACTACTAAACAAATAATTTAACAACCAAAATATACCTTAAGGTCTTACTAATTATAATCACTTAGGAATTCCATGAAACACATCGCATATATCTACTGTTATATATTTAACAATATCAAAATTAGCATATAAATATCACCCAAACGGGCTCCCCAAACTACAACATTGTGCCCTAAAATATTTACTTGTTGAAGTATTTTTATTTATTACAGTATTTTCTCTCAAATTTGTATGGATGAAATGTAAATAGAAAATGGGAAAAGAACAAAAATGAGGATGAGGATGGATAATCAAATGTGCATGAAGATGGATAATAGTGAATGCAACTAGGCTTAACAGTACTACATCCATATGAACAAACACCTCTACAATACTTCAAGACACCTCTGCAATATTTTTACAAGACATCTCTTCAATATTTTTACAAGTACATCTATATGAACAAGACACGTCTGCAATATTTGTAAAGAGCGGAATTATGAAATATTTGCAAAGAGGAATTATGAATAGTGCGAGAAAACACTATATTTATAAAGAGAGGAATAATGAAATATTTGCAAAGTGGAATTATGGATAGTGAGAGAAAACACTATAGCTATTCCAATCTATTTTTATCATAAATTTTTTTTAAAAAAAACTCTCAAATTTCCAACCATTAAATATTTGAAGAATGAGTTTTCTTTTTGCTTTTAAGACTTAAAAAATATATACATGTTACAATATTATAATAAATGAAAAATTGCACCAATAATTTCTATCCGGTCTTTACTATTTTGTGTCAAATCCTATTCTCTTTATAGGACATTTTAAAGTTTTCATTTCTCTCTCACTCAAAAATATAATTATAGTAAATATGCATGGGCATACACTCGTGCTCATATGGTTTTAGCTAATATGGAATGGTTTTAGCCATGTGGAAGTTTTAGTTAATATGGAATGGTTTTAGCCATATGGAAAAAAATAGATTAG